AGCAGGAGGGAGCAGGAGAAGTGGGAGGGGGCCAGCAAAACATTTTTGCGGTTGAGTTTCTTTTAGCAGAGAGCGAGCCACCGAGTGGAGTGGCTGACAATTATTTACAGTCGAAAGTTTTGCCAAGTTGCCGGGCGGCACAAATGAAGTTGCTGTTGCTGGTGGAGCGGCTGGAGGACATGCTGTCAGGACATGCGAACATGTGTAGTCGAAGCGGTGTCCAAGTTATGGCATGCGGCAGAGTGGCAGTGGGACGAGGAGCTCTAGCAGGAGAAGAGACAATTGCAGAAATTATGCAACTGTTGTGGTGGAAGCCACAGGACAGCACTTCTTGTTGTCAACCTGGATGCCAGAGTTCCACAGAGAGTCTCCAGCTTCAGCTTCTGCTTGGAGTTCTGCTGCTTCTCCTGCTCCTCAGCTCCTTCTGCTATCCTTGCAGACAATTAAGCAAGGACAATGCCAGGCAGCAGCTTTATAAATGCTCATGCATGCACACAGAAACCGAAGGACTCGACCCCGCCCCTTAGAACTGGGACAGGCAGACACCTGACGCTTGCCTTCCTCGGTCGCCCGCCGCCTGTCTACAGGATGGTCTTCCAGGATGTGTTAAGCCAGAGAACCATTGAAGTTCATTGCCGAAAGTTGTCGCAACCCCAAGCCATGTCTGTCCTGTCCGCATCCTACATCGTACATCCGTTTTCTATGGAAGCAGGAAGCCCGGTAGCCAGCATAATGCCATATCCATGAACGCAATTTGCCATTGCTGCCAGTGGAATCCTTTTGGCCCAAAGCCGAAACTGAAACTCCAGCTAAAGCTGAAGCTGAAGCTGAAACCCTGCTGCCTGCAGCATGTGGCAAATTACAAAGAATTCCATGATTTACCTAATTGCAGCATCTGCCTTGGCTCCACCCCCACAATCACTATTCCCATTCGCCCAACCCCCTACAGAATATCCCCGAAAAAAGAATCAACATTTACGTGCCCTCCTTCAGTATTTATTCTGGCTTAATGGGTCAGATCGCTGTATGCCCCTTCTTCTCTGGCTGCTTGGGCTGCGGGGCAGGGCAGGCACGCGCTGGCATTATCCAGCTGAGGATCCTGTTCCGCTGGGACGGATCACGGGCCAGCATTCGCTCGCCCCGTCGAATGGCAGCCTTGTGCACCCAGCGCATCAGCTCCTGGCCGAAGTTGGTGCGGCGCTCATATCTGTTGGGATAACTGCCCTCGTACGTCGTATACGAGCGGACTGTATATCCTGCAAAGCCGAAAGACAGAAGTAAATTATGGGTCGAAGAGATCCACGCGCACCACTCACCAACTACAAGAATTTGGGTAATTTGACCAAGAAAAGATTTCCGGCTCGACGACATGCTGCTGAAGTTAAATTAAACTCTAAAGATGTAAAGAATTTTGGGAGCGATCGAAACGAGTCCTGATGTTGTGTGTGTGATGTGAATGTTGGAATGAAAAATATGCGCTTGCCACGTCTCCATTTGTGAACATCTTTCAAAAAGTCATAGGTAAGTCAAGCTGTGAATGTAAACACCTGGACAGCTAGATTATTTCTGTAGACTAGCTAATGGTACAAATATCTATGCAAGACCACCGACAAAGCTGACAGCAAACCGAGAGAGCAGTGAGTAGAAAGCAAAGGCTCAATCACAAGAGCGAGAGTCAAGGACGCCACTCAAAGAATTCTCGCTGCTCGCTTAATATTACTTAAAGAAACCATTTAATTATACTTCAAACTTATCAGTCATATTCATTCAATAATCATTAATTTAAGCTATTTATTTACACGAAAATCGAACAGTTTTACTCGAACCACACAAAGAATAAAAAGATCTTTTTGTGTACCTTCCATATGGTTTATCTATTGTTGCTCTAATGTATAATTTCTGCACTACTTTTTGGGGGGAACGCATCACTCCAATTCGCTGGGTCTCCTGCTCTGGCTCGACGGCAACCTGTGCCTGAAAGTGGGAGCGGTGTCTGTGCCCGGCTCTACTCCCTCTTCGGCAGGCTCTTGAGCCCTTGAGCGCCGCTCGAGCAGCCGTTGTTCATCCGAGTCCGAGGCTCCAGCTGTTCCATAGGAGATTGAAGCATGCGGACTGCTGGTATCCAGGCGTACGGAGACAGATCGCTGGACCCGCGTGCCCGAGGTTCCGTCTCTAGATGTCTTCTGCTGTGGCGCCGAGCTGCTCATGGCCCGCCGCTCGCTGGGGTCCAGGCAATCGGTGACCACCGAGTAGCAATGGTCCTTGATCCGCAGATAGCCGTAGATGAGGGCATCGTTGAGAGCGACCGTGATCTGTCGCTTTAACTCCTCGTCGCAGCGATCCAGGCGCTCGGCCACACCCTCAACGATCTCTTGCTGTGTCAGCGGACGATCGGCATCGGCGATCACCCGCAAGATGTTGCTAAATAGTTGGGGGATCAGCTTACGCTTTGGCGGTCGATTGTAGCCCCTCGTCAGCATCCTACCAGTGGGGAGACCCAGCGAAACGGAAACGGGAAATGGAGAAGTTTATTGCCTGAAACTCAAATCGAAAGTTTTTGCCTGTATTGAGGAGTGACACTTGCCTCTCAGATGTATGGATGCGAGGTGGAGATGGCTTGTCTCTCACCTCCATTGTAAATTAAAGAACTCTCTCCGTTGTCTCTGTGTGTGTTTCGGTGAGCCAAAGTTAGTCCACAGTCGAGCCCCAAAAAGTTTCGTCTCCGTCTTTAAGCCCTTTGTGGCCCACTCCCAGTCACCTTTCTTGGCGGTTTCCATTTCGATTCGTTTGGCCAGCAACAAACTCAATCGTTGATGGAATCGTCTCAGCTTTACCCTGTACTAGAAATGGGGGAAAAGGAAGGAGGAAATATCTTCCTTGGGCACTTTTTGACAAAGAAAGTGAAACATATTTGTCTTGCGGATTTTAGTTGGTATCGTCATGGTCGTTTCCGCCTGATTATGCGAGACAGTATCTGCTCCAGACAGTCAGTTAGTCAGTCACAGGGGCTGTCGAGACGGCTGGCTGGCTGGAGGGTGGCAGGGGGTAGGCAGCCAGACAGGCAGACGAGTATCGATTTGCAGTTAAAGTTGGCCATCCCACATCTCACATCCCACATCCTCCTCTCTGGCTGTTGCTGCTTCTGCTGCGGATGTTTCTGTTGCGGATGGTGCGGATGCTGCGGGTAAGCGGATAAGTATGGGTAATCAAGTACAAATGCGGGGGAACGATTCTACCCGATGCCCCCGCTGTCCCGCTGTCCCGCTGCCGATGACGATGACGACATGGGCACGGGCACAAGAAAGGATCTGCGACAGGCGCTTCAGAATTTGCATAGGGCAGCCAGTAAGAAGACGGGACGGGGGGGAAGGCCATCATTGTTATTGTCCTTTGCCACTGCTACTGCTGATGCTGCTGCTGCTGCTGCTGCTGTTGTTGTGTCTGGCACGTGTCGCAAGGAATTTAGATAGCAGGAAGTTTCACATTGACTGGGGGGTGGTCGGTGCACAGTGCATAACACAATAACCGCAGCCTGATTGAAATCTTCTCGAGTGCAATCGCATTAATCGCACAGCGAGGGCAGGCCCATTAGTTGCCCAAAAACTCGCAACAGCTAAGTATTCAGCTGCAGTCGGTTTCGGCACGCTGGCACTCACATGTATTCTACGTATGCACAGACAACAGACACGAAGCCAAAAACGTTTCTTGCTTCTCTGCCGCTGCGGCAGCCGATTAATTGTGCATGGGGTCACACGAAGTTGTTTCTCTGCCGCTGCGGCCGAAGCCACTCGAAGCTCTTGCGCGGTGCGTGTGCCGACTGCACTGCCCAAAATGTGTGCAGAGACAACGACGCTGCCGGCCGCTGATCTACAGGGCAGGGTTATTTCAGCGCAATTTATGCTCTCTGCGCTGCTGCTGTGAAAGTGTAAGCCAGTAGCAAGAATCAATAATCCTAAGACTTACACAAGGCTTATACTAGCATCAAATTAAGATCCGCAAATTAATTTATTTCGCTGTAGAAATTTGCCATAAACGACAAGTGTGATTCTGCTTGGGAGTTGCATTCCAAAATGGGAACATTAAATAATCCTGCGAGTATATGGGCACTTACAGGCACTGCCACTGAATATAGCGAGCTTTTGCACACCAAAAAGGGCCGCAACATAATTGGCGGCGAATTCCCAATTACTTTTGCCCCATCAAATCCTTTACTGTCATTGTCAGGTAATTCCCAACCGCGCAGCTGTCGAGTCTAAGTTGCAGATTGGAGCCAGTCCCAGTCCAGTCCCAGTGCCCGTGCAAGTCCCAATCCCAATGCTGACGGGGTGGCGAAACTTTTGTTTCATTTCCATTTCGCTTGATACTCACGTATTTTTTGTCTCAATGTCAGAGATGGACTCGGAGGCGGAGACAGAGACTGGAATTTTCTGGGGGTGGGGTGGCGGCAGTGTTAATTATGACTGACAGTGTTGGCAAGCGCTACACATTCCAGCACTTGGACAGCAGCAGCCAGTGACTGGCGCAGCAAACTTATGGCTAATCCGGCGCTAGTGATTAGGCCCGGCTCCAAATGAGGGCGACTGGCAACAATTAAAGCCAGCTAAAGCCAGTTGTGGCCCGGCCTGGCCTGGAGAAAGTTCGTCCACACAGAGCACCCTTCAGTGCAATTAACTGAAACTTTTGTGGCAGCCCAAGCCCCACTACGGCACCCGTACCAGCACAGTTGGAAGGCATGAGTGGGGAGTGATGCAAGAATTATGACTCCAAGTCAGGCAAACGGAGAGACGGAGAGCGAGAGAGCGAGAGAGCATCCTGTCCGCACGCACACACACACACATGAAAAATAATTTATTTTACGATTAGCGGGAAATGTAATGGCCAATCCCAGACCCAACCACCACAATCAGGCCATCAGATCGGACTATTCCCTGGCCGGCGATGCGTGTAAGTGGCCGGGCGGCGTTTCCGGCTGGTCAACCGAGTCAAGAAACTGCACAGCATTCAAGGAGTAGAGTATTGGACATTAATGGCGACGCTGTCGTCAGCGATTTCCATTCATAACCATTCATGTGTCGCCAGCGGAAGTCCCTCAAACCTTGAACTGCCACAACAAACAAGCAAACAGCAAAGAGACGCTATCGATCGTCGAAATCTCAAGTGAAATGAATCAGAAAAAAGAGACGCGGAACAATCCCACGGATCCCAAGCAGCACGAACTGTTGCAGTGTAAGTATTTGGTGTCCAATGGATTCACCCACACATATCGCAGGCATCTTTTTGCAGTCTGCAGAAAGTTTCTAACATCATTTGCGAGTTGGCTAAACTTTCTTGGTGTGAATGAAATCGATCCTCTGGCTGACCACACAAATAATAATAACAATCCAGCATTCGCAACGTAATAAGCGGACTCTAAGCGGAAAAGTTTTTATGATTTTTATTAGTTTCGTCTCGCGAGTGTATGGCATGCTGGGAATTGAGTGGAGCTGCCAAGATGTTGTGTTGTCCATCGAATCGCTGTTGAGATTTATCAACGCCACACGCAATGCTGGAGGGAAGAAGATTGCTTCAAGCTGAGCTGCGGAGATGGTCAGCGTACGATGGGCCCACCCCTCCGTTGGGCGTTACTAATCTAATTTGCAGTTATTGGCCGCCAGATTACGCCAGATCCCTTTCCGCACAGGCACATGTGTGTATCGCGTGCTGTGCTCACTCCCACTCCCACTCCCACTCGCAGTCCCCCTACGGATTGCCTATAATTTGGCACACAGTGTGCAAGCGGATGCCGCATTAGCATCTTGGGGGGGCCCAAGCACACACATCCAACAGCCTGGCTCTACCATTAGTCGAAGCTGTGTGCAAGTGCAAAACATAATGAAAATGATGTCAGTTTGATAAGATTTTGCCGCTGGGCGTGTGTGTGCCAGTGCCAGTGCCAGTGCCAGTGTTCCTGTCGCCTGTCGCCTCTCTGCATCTGTGCCTTCCACATCTGTATCTCTGTAGCTCCATTGTTGTGCGGCCTTCCTCCTGTTGTACGAGTACGAGCACGAGTATGTGGGTGCTCACTCGCATGTTATGAGAAAAGTTTCCCTGCTTAAAGATGTTTCAATGGGGAATGCTAAATGGGAAATGGAAAACTTCGCATCGCACCGCATGCTCCTGAACGGCGAGAGTGGGCTTGTTCTACATTCGCACTAAGTGTGCCCCACACCCACACATGGTTGGGTGTGTGTCTTGTTAGTTGGAAGAACAAATCTCAGAGAAGTAGTATGCTATGACAATTGGTCAGGGTGGCCGCTGACAAGGGGAACGACTTCCATCACAACTTGATGGTGACTCATATCGCCACAGTATGCGGCATCTACATGTGCATTCTCTGTAGTATTTACAGCAGCTCTCACACCACAGCTCTGAGCTCATTGCTCTACGCTATTGAGGTAAGAATTGAGGAACTGTTGCAGTATCTGCTCCTGAACATTGTTTGTACAACACTTTAATGGGGATCGGGATCAGGGTTTGTACGCACCGCATAACAGGCTGTGGATGCGAGCAACAATGGCCACGCATCCGCATGTCCTGCCTGGGCTGCGTCTCTCACATCAGGCCGCAGCAAACACTCCAAACACGTCCAATCAGCCAGACCACTGCAACGCCTGCCGAGCCAGCCTGCCTGCCTTCCTGTCACTCCTGCTGCCCAGATGGTACCACTAGCGCGTTCACCATTGTTGTGCTCCTATCAGAATAACCCAACCGTCAGACTGCCAGCTCAGCAGCCGGCAGACGGCAGACGGCAGCTGACAACGCCTATCAAATTAAGCAAAACAAAATTGCATTATGGCGAAAGTTGCAACCAGTGCACAAAGCACAGACCATGCCCCAGCCCCAGCACTGTTGGCCAACACACACACGAGCTTGTGCAGCATGCAGGGGGCGTGGCATGGCAGCGTCACCGAAATTATTCATTGCACAGTGCGGTCCAGACAATTTATGCTAATCAACATCAATCGATTTGCATGCCATGGGCCTGGGCCTGGGCCTGTGTCTGCCCGACCAAAAAGGATAAACGTCTGCCGTCTGCCTTCTCTCACTCTCACTCTCCAGCTCCTGTCCAACTCTATCCTGCTTATATAACTAGTCCTGATGCTACACCTATTCCTATTCCACATTGCATTCTGCCTGATCCTGTTCCAACTGGCCCGTTTCCACTGCCAGTTTATTCACTCTTCGCCCAGGAAAGTGCCTCCACTGTGTGTTATTTGGCTGCACTTTGGCTGCACCCTCTACACAAAACAGACAATCTAGTTTCCAAGGACTCAATTTCCGATTCCCAAAATCTGTATTTCATAATTTTATTCGTAATTATTAACGCTTTCCATGGAGTCTATTCGCTTATGCGAAGTTTTCCAACGAGCCAAACCGCATTCGCATCTTTCGACGAAAGCGACCCAGTGGAGCTGGGTTACTTCTGGTGCTGTTTATTGGGCGGTTCCGATGGCTGCGGTTCAATGGCTACCACCCAAAACAGTAACTCTTTGCCCCCCCCCCC